GAGGAGGAGGAGGAGGAGGAGGAGGATACGGAGGCGGAGGCGGAGGCGGAGGCGGAGGAGGCGGAGGAGGAGGAGGAGGAGGAGGAGGATGAGCAGGATGAGGAATAAAATTAGTACTAATAATAATACGATCCGGCGAATGCGATTCATACTGCTAACACTAATGATACGTCCACGGAGGCTATACTTAATAAGAATAGTAAGACTACAACGTATACTACTAAGAAGACGACATTTACTTTTTCATACGAAAATTATGTTGGTATGAACATTTGATATGCATATTAAGCTTATTCGGAAGCATGCGAATAATCATAAGAGTAGCGTTAGGAAGCATACTAATACGAATGGTACTCAGGAGCCTCATACTACTACGAAGAATAAGAGGGCGGAGGAGGAGGAGGAGGAGGAAGAGGAGGAGGAGGAGGAGGAGGAGAGGAGGAGGAGGGGAGGAGGAGGAGGAGGAGGAGGAGGAGGATGTGGAGGAACATGAGGATGAGGATGAGGAGGAGGAGGATGAAACGGAGGAGGAGGAGGAGGAGGAGGAGGAGGAGGAGGAGGGGAGAGGAGGAGAGGAGGAATAATAACAATAAACATAATAATAAGATGAGAAAAGGAGGAGGAGGAGGAGGAGGAGGAGGAGGAGGAGGAGGAGGAGGAGGAGGAGGAGGAGGAGAGGAGGAGGAGGAGGAGGAGGAGGAGGTGGAGGAGGAGGAGGACGAGGAGGAGGAGGAGGAGGAGGAGGGGGAGGAGGAGGAGGAGCTTGGCTCGTTGCGGGGGTGGGGGCAGAGAAAGGGGAGGCTGCGGCGCAGGGGGGGGGCGCGGTGGGGCGCGCGGTGCTGGTGCCGGTGCCGCGAATGAAGTGGTCGGGGCGCATGGGGCGCGCTGGCTGGGGGGGGGGCGAGGAGCTGGTCTGGCTGCGCGGGGCGATGCAGTGGATTTGGGCTGGCTGCGGGAGGAAGGAGGGGCAGGGCTGCGGGGCGGGGGAAGGGGGGGCCTCGTGCCAATGCCGTGCCGTGCCAGAATAGAAGTGGTCGGGGCGGAGGGGGCGCGCTGGCTAGGTGGGCTACGAGGAGTGCTGGGCTGGCTGCGGATGAGGAGGAGCTGGGCTGGTTGCGAGGGGGAAGGGGGGGTCGCGGTGCAAGTGCTGGTGCCGGTGCCGTGCCAAAATACAAAAATGGTCGGGGCGGAGAGGGCGCGCTGGCTGATGGGGAGGAGGAGCTGGGCTGGCTGTGGGAAGGCAGGGGGGGCGTGGCTGGGGGGCGAGAAGGAGCTGGGCTTGCTCGCCAGTGCCTTGCCGTGCCAGAATACTGTAAAGTCGTCGAAGCTCTAGACGCGGGTGCGAAAGAATAGGAACATATGGGACACAGAGAGGAATACGGAAGCCCATGTCCTATGGAACATATGGGGAATCCTGGGAGCCCTGGGCACCTTTCCTCTCGCCCTCCCCCCGCTCCCGAAGGAGATCAGCGAACTCGAGGTGTCGGGGGAAGGCCAGCGCGTGGAGGAGCTGAAGGACGCGCTGTGCGCTCTCGCGCCAAGCCTGGCGCTTGGCTCTGGCGTCGGCGGCGGCTTTTCGCAGCTCTCGCGGCCAGTCGCCCAGTGTTGAGCAACAGACTTGGGCACGGTTGGCTTGTGTCGCTTAGGCCTGCCAGACGGGGTCTGAGCAGAGTGGGTCGGAGGATCGCGCCGCATCGCCGGGATCGGCGATGCGCCGCGATCCTTCGATCCCATCTGCTCTGACCCCATCCAGGAATCACCAAGCGCGCCCCACTACTCGCAAAGTGCCAAGTCGCAAACTTCCGAAAAACACATGTGACAAACACATGTCTGCTTTGATGTAATGTATCGTAGATCCTCCGCGGGGGATCCAGGCCATTTGCGAGTAATCACTTTGCGAGTAGTGGAACGCGCTCGAGTAAGGTTAGAATACATGTGGGCACGGCAGGTTCGAGTCGCGTCGACGCGGCGATGGCCCCAGCGCGGACGTTCATATTTGAGCGTCCCCAGTGGCCCAGATGTGGAACGATCCGGCGATCGAGAAGCTGCATATTTTTCAAGGTTGAGCGATCCACGAGGTGTCAGAAACCAACGCCGAGGTCGTGACGCCACGAGCATTTCGCATTCGTTTTTTTCCGTTGGCTGTTGATATACACACACACATATACATATATATATATATATATATATATATATATATATATATTCAGCTTTTGCGGGTCAGTAGGGCGGACATCCGACGAGATCACATGATCGCGTCTTTACCCTTGTTTCAGTGTTTTACGGAAAGGGCTGGGGCCCAGGGTTCTCTTGCAGTGGGAAAACCCTGTTTTCCAGTGCCATGCTTGAAGAGGGCCAGCGGATTTCCGCTCGATTCGGATCAATGTGAAGTCCCATTTGAAGCGTTTCGCGCGTGCCCGCTCGAGGTGAGTACCCTCCCCATCTCGGATCCTCGATGCGCAGACCCCCGTTTTCCTAAGTGAAAAGAAGGCACGGCGCGTTTTGCGCGGAATCCATACTAAACAACAACGTCCGGAGACCTCGACACTGTTCCGAAAATGGGAAGATATTGCAAAGGCCTTTCGGCCAGTGCCGCCGACCCTGAGAACGACGAAGATGAAAACGAGGGGGGGCAGAGGGAGGAGGATGAGTGGGAGGTGGAGGAAGGGTGGGGGAGGTGGATGAGGGAGGGGGAGAGGGGAGAAGGATGTGGAGGAGAAGCAGGAGGAGGAGAAGGAGGCAGAGGAGAGCAGGAGGGGGAGCAGAGGGGGGGGAGGAGGAGGAGGAGGAGGAGGAGGAGGAGGAGGAGGAGGAGGAGGAGGAGGAGGAAGAGGAAAAGGCAAGAGGCTTTCTTGGGACAGCCTGGGGCTCTCTTGAGGCCGCCTTGGGCCGTCCAGGGCTCCTCTTGCGCCATCTCGAGGCACTCTTGGAGGCCTCCTGGGTAATTTTGGGCTCTCCTGGGCTGTCTTGGGGCAATCTTGAGGGCCTCTTGGGCCGTCTTGGAGGTGTCTTGGGCCGTCTTGGGGCCTTCTTCGGCCGTTAGGGGACCCTCTTAGGGGCCTCTTGGGCCGTCTCGGGGCGATATTGAGGGCCTCTTGGGCCGTCTTGGCGCGTCGGGAAGCGGAAGAGGCAAGAACGCCAAAATTTGTCAAAAACGTTTGGGAAATCCATGAATCTTGCCTCTTGGGACTCTCGTGGGAAAGCTCCTGGAGGCCTCTTGGGGCGCTTTGCAGGCCTCTTGGGCCGTCTGGAGGCCGTCAAGGCGTCTTGGACAGATCGTTCGGCGATTCGGGGTTCTCTTGGACTGTCTTTGTGGCCCCTTGGGGTACTCTTGGCCCGTCTTGGGGCTTTTTTGGGCTGCGGGACTCCCCGGGAGGGCGTCTGACCCCCCCCCCCCCCGGCGGGGAAGGGATCGAAGAGAAGGGTCTTCCCTTCGACTCAATTGCGACGTTGCTCAACTTCGCTTTGGTTGGCGCGCTGAGGAGGTCCCTGGAAAAGGGGGGAGCTTCGACGAGCCCAGGGAAAGGGGGAGGCAGGGAAAGGGGACGACAGAGACGACGACCAACGAATGACGGAGATGACGACTTGAACGGACAAGCCCCTCACACACGCCGACAGGGTCGGCGGATTTACAATGGTGATATGTTTACTTTTTGCGTACCCGCCCGAGGACGGCGCGTCCTGCGCGAGGTTTCTCGAGGATGTCTCGAGCGAGACGCTCGTTCTGCAGCTCTTGAGGGGCCTGAGCGCCCCAGCGTGCCCAGGTGATTCTGGGGGTGTCGACGCACCGCTGCTTCTGAGGGATCGTGGCCCTGGGAGCGTGGGCGCCGCGTAATTTACAAGAGGTCCTGGCCCTGGAAGCGGGGACAGTGTGGCTTACGAGGGATCGTGGCCCTGCGGGGCGGATGCCGAGGAATGCACGGGGGATCGTGGCCCTGGAAGTGCAGGGACGCGGCGCAGTTTACGATGGATTGTGTCCTTGGGGGAGCGGGCGCACTGTAATTCACGAGGGATCGTGACCCGGGAAGCGCTGGCGCAGCGTAGTTTGCAAGGGATCGTGGTATTGGGAGTGCGCAAACAGAGTAATTTACACCGGATCGTGGCCCTGCGAGCGCGGACGCAGCGCAATTTACGATGGATTGTGGCCTTGGGAGCGCGGACGCAGTTCAATTTACTAGGGATCGTGGCCCCGGGAGCGTGATCCCATGGTAATTTGCAAGGGATGGCGGCCTTAGAAGCGCGGACATCTTGTAATTTACAGGGGATCTTGGCCCTGGGAGCTCGGACGCGGTGTGATTCGTCAGGCGTCCCAGCCTCGGGAACGCCGGCGCAGCGCAATTTATTAGGGATCGTGGCCCTGGGAACGTGACACCCTCTGAAGTGTCATTTAACTGGGTGACGCGGCCCTGGGAGCGCGAATCAAGAATTGAGAAAGGATCTTGGCCCTGGGAGCGCGGACGCAGTGTAATCTACAAGGGATCGTGACCCTCGGGCGCGTTCCCTGGCACGTTCCCTGGCGCCTCTCCTGGTCAGTCGATCGCAAACATGGATTAAGGGGGCGTGGATTAGCGACGGGTCCCGTTTCCATGGGGAATCGAGGATTTCCGCCGCTGAGCAAGGCGGCACCGGCCGCATTTTGGGGAGGGCCCCTCCCGCGATCCATGGATTTGGCGACCGCGCGCCAAATCCATGGATCGCTAATCCATGTTTGCGCGCCCCCGACTTGGGGACGTCGCGAGGGGCGTCCCCCGGAAATCGATCCCTGGTAGACGTCCCGGGAGCGCTCCAACGGGGGCCTAAGGCTGGCCAGACGATTTCGGGACGGTCCCAGAGGGTCCCATGACTGCAGGGAGGGAGGGAGGGAGGCTTTCTTTGGAGACGAAAAGGGGCGTGCGCCGAAATCCATTCCAGACGAAATTGAGTTTTTTTTTAAGGTTTTCAGTGTGCAGGCGCGCCCTGCCGCGCGGTGGTTTCCCAGCACGCCTGAGAGGGTGCTGACGCATATTGCGAGGCATTCATTTTGCACGTTGCGCATGCCATCGCGTACAAAGCGCGCATGGCTTGAGCTTTTTCGCAGACGCTTTCTGGCGAGGCCCTTCGAGGGCCCTCTCAGGGCCCGCAAGGGCCGCCGAGTGCCGAGAGCTCCCGGTAGCCATCGTCGACAGTTGGCAAAATCAACGCCGCCGAAAGGGCCGCCGAAAGAGCCGTCGGAAGGGCCGCCGAAATTGCCGCCGAAAGGGCCGCCGAAAGAGCCGTCGAAAGGGCCCCCGGAATGGCCGCCGAAATTGCCGCCGAAATCGCCGCCGAAATCGCCGCCGAAATTGCTGCCACAATCGCCGCCGAAATTGCCGCCGAAATGTCCGCCGAAAGTCCAGATTCTTCAGCTGAAGAGAGGCCGAATTTGACCTTGTCTGTGACGCTGCGTCATCATGCTTGACAAACAGTGATTTCGCTTGGGACAGGGCAATGGACATTTCGGCGGCTGAATTTCGGCGGCAATTTCGGCGGCTTAATTTCGGCGGCTATGTTGGCGGAGTGCGCAATTATTTCGGCGGCAATTTAGACGGCAAGTTCGGCGGCAAGTTCGGCGGCAAGTTCGGCGGCAAGTTCGGCGGCAAGTTCGGCGGCGATTTCGGCGGCAAGTTCGGCGGCGATTTCGGCGACGATTTCGGCGGCCCTTTCGGCGGCCCTCCTGGCGGCCCCTTGAAGGACCATTTCGGCGGTTTTGTTTTTGACAGCTGTCGACACACGCCGCTGGGAGCTCGCAGCATTCGGCTGTGGCAAAGAGTCGATGGGCGGCGACGCAAGCTGACCTGCCCTCAGCCCGATGATGGTTGTAACATTTGTTCTCTTATGGCTTTGGCGGCGATGATGGTGACGGCCGCGGTGATGTTTGGTTCAAAATGGATGCTCGTCAGGGGGCATTGCAGGTTTTCAAAAAGTATGAATTTGCCCCGCAACTCCTTCGGCATTCGTCGGCCATTTGGGGGGCCATGGCGGCTCCAAAAGATGTTGGGGGGAGGGGGGAGGGAGGGAGGTAGGGGGGAGGGAGGGAGGGAGGGAGTGAGGAGGGGAGGGAGGGTCTGGGGGACACTCTCAGGAGGCCCCAAATTCTAAGTTCCCGTAAGTTTTTGAAGGTTTTCAGGGGTCTCGCTTCTGCGGGCCCAGAACGGCCCATGCGGCTTCAAGAGTCGCCCCCTGAAGGCCCCAGGGATTCCCAAGAGAGCCCCAAGGCGGCCCCAGAGGGCCCCAACACGGTCCAAGATGGCCCCGAGACGGCCCGAAAAAAGGGCCCCCTATAGTCGCCCGGGAGGGCCCCAAGAGGGCCCCAATAGGTTCGTAAGAGGGCATCAAGAGGCCCGCAAGAGAACCCCAAAACGGCCAAGGGCCTCCCAGACGTCCACGACGGCCCAGAAGGTCATCAGGACGTCCCAAGCGGATCCCAAGACCCCCCACGAAGGCCCAGAGACGCGACATCACAGAGGCTCCCACTGGCTCAAAGCGAATACCTTTAGCCTGACAAGTGCCCGTCGCCCAATCAGGTGTCTTGAAAACATTGCCGTTCCGCATTTCTGAATTTCTTGCCGGGTTCGTGGGTTGATCATGTTCCCCCGGCCATGCTGTGGTGTTGGGTTCTCGTTTTGAAGAGACAGCGCCCCGCGTCTCACTCCCACCTCCCGCTGCCCCCTCCACGTTCATTCCAGCATGACCTCGTCGTCACCATCATCGGCATCAGCATCATCAGCATGCGTCCCCCCGCCCCGCACCCCTTCACACGTTTCGCGGCGCATCCCTCACACGTTTCGTGGCCCCACAGGGAGCTCCACAGAACGCTCCTGCGGCAGGGTTCGCGCGCGTTCCCCCGCTCATGGCGGCACCTCACACGCTTCGTGGCCCCAGAGGGAGCGCCACCGAAGGCTTTTGAGGGAGGGTTCGCGTGCGTCCGCAGCCCTTTTCGGCACGCCCCTCACACGCTTCATGGGCCCCAAGGGAGCTTTATCGAAGGCTTTTGTGGCAGGGTTTGCAGGCGTTCCCTTGCCAATTTCGGCACACCTCTCACACGCAATTGACGCGGACCCCATCCAGGATGTTTCTAGGACGCCGCGGCGCATCAAGGGACATCACGGTGGCACAGCAAGACGTCGTGGCGCACATTCCAGCGGTCCGCCAATCAAAGCACGAGGCCGGAATAACATGGGGGCATGAGAGCCATCGGCGCCCCAGTTGGACTCAGCGACGCTCCTGGCACTGACGACGTAGACGACAGGAAGCTCGAAGCGCAGTTTTTCCGTGGGCTGGCCCCACGGGCGCTACCCCCCCCCTCACTTCCCATGGCCTCCCTGCATCCATGGGAGCGTCGGCGGGGATCATTGCAAGATGGGGCCGTGGCCAAGGACGGAGGGCGAGGAGGCTCTGCGCAGCTGCCGGACACCTGTGAGCCGGCGCGGGGGAGCAGCTGCATCCCATGCTGGATGCAGAGTCGGAGATCTCTTCGGGCTCGCGAGTGCGAGGGGGTGGCCCTTGTTCGGGTGCTTTTTGAGCTCTTGCTTGGGCCCTCACCCAGGAGGAAGGTGAGGGGGGATGCACTACGCTCCTTCCCGCGCCTGCGCTGCTCGCCGGCAGCTCAACAGGAAGAACTGGAGGGCCTGCGGGAGGATGCGGACAAGAACGCGTCTCGCTACGCCAGGCCAGGCCCGCCTGCCGCAGGGTGGATGGTCCCATCTCCTGTAGCCTGCTGTCCGTCGCAAGCATCACATGACTGAGGACCCTGAGCAGAAGTCGCTTCGTCTTTCCGTGTTCGATGAAATGCCGCCTCGGCGCTCGCATGAAATTGTGCGTGTCCTGAGTGTGGCTCCCTCGCCCCTTCGGCCTCTCCGTTCCTCGCCTCGCGCGTTCCCGCTCCGCTGTGCTTCGCTGTGCTCTGGCACGCCCCACCGCTGCTCGACCGCCGTCGGATCCTCTTGCGACCGCTGGCTAAAAAGTCTGATGAATTGCTCATCGTGCTCTGACTCATATCTCTATCGAGTAGGCTTTGTCCGTGGTGTCTCGGTGAGCACGAACTTGACGTGCAGAGCGCAGCCTCAATGTTTGCAGCATCAGCCGTCTACGCAGCATCCGTCGTCGTTCTGATTATCTTGCGCAGTATGTCCAGCCCTCTGCCTCCCCAACATCCTCGATCGCTATGCGAGTCTCTGATCTGTCTCAGATCTGCCTGTCAGGGGTGCAACTGCCCACAACCAAGTATGACCTTTTGAATGTGCTCCTGCGTTCACGCGACGTCAGCCCGCATGTCCGCATTCAGGCAGCGATGCCTATGCACATATACATTCGCATGCGTCCTGTGTGGTATGTGACTTCGGGTGCGCGTTCGCCCCTGCCCTGCAATAACTATGATTCCACTTCCCTCGATCGTTTCGCCCCGCTGTTCCGTGGAGGCTGTACCAGCAGATGATTCACTTGCGCGAGCTCAAGGACAGCAATCTCCCCAGAGGCATGGTGAGCAAGAAGAGATGCCACGGGCGGTGGCATTTGAAAGAGAGAGAGAGAGATATATAGAGAGGTGGGAAAAAACAGCCTCCTTTTGAGAACTGTATCAACAACTATTTGATCCAGGAGTGTGGCGTAAGGGTGTTGCTTCGGGTATGCGTTGTTGGCTTCGGCTCACTTCCCACACGCGTGATGTTGGTCGAAGTACAGCGCTTGCGCAGCCGCAAGGGACCCTCGCAGGGAAGCGAACCCTGAAAATCCGCGCGCGAGGTGCAACCGGGGGGGGGAAGCCCAGGGCAGCCCTGGGAATCCGCAACGCCCACGGGACGGCAGCGCGCAGCGCACGAGGCGAAGAGGCCCATGGCTGCTCCGACGAGGGGCATCCCACTTCTTGCTGTGCGTCCCCGCTCGGGGCCCCCGAGACCAGGACTCGGATGAACCAGGATGTTAGGAGGAGGAGGAACATGAGGAGGAGGAGGAGCAGGAGGAGGAACATGGAGGAGGAGGAGGAGGAGGAGGTGGAGGAGGAGGAGGAATCAGAGAAGGAGGAGGAAGATGAAGAGGAGGAGGAGGAGGAGTTGGCAAGTCGGGGACACGACTCGCCAAAGTCCCGGCTTGAGTTCGACAAGCCGGGACTCCGGCATTTTCCCGACTTGCCAGAGTCCCGGTTTTTCAACGTCCTGGTCGAAGAGGGCCTGGACCCTGGACCCACTGTGTGTTACAGTGGAGGCCCATGCCAAGAAGCACCCTGCTTGCCTCCGGGAATTCCCTGGGTTTCTTGGGTTTCGATGGTTTTGCGATGAAGAGCGTGGTGTTCCCACACCAAGAGTCAATGGACGTCCTGGTGTCTCAGGCTCGGGTTTCTCCCAGAAGGTCTCTTGTGGGCGGGCTCCTACTGCAGAGGGCCTGGGCCCACTGTGTGTTATCACCCAGGACCTCCTCTGCCGAAGGAACAACACGTACCCATACCCATAGGAGGGTCGGAGGGAGGAGGACTGGCTATGGATATGGGTGCGGGTTGTCGGACCCTGGGGGAGGCTCCCGTTCGAACGGGGACAGCCATCCGACAACACGCACCCATAGCCCCCTCCGTCCCCTCTATGGGTATGGGTACGTGTCGTTCGTTCGTCATCCTCGGCTTCCGCGCCCAGCCTGGGTGCTCCGCGCCGCGGTGCGGGGAGCTGCAGGCCACAGAGGCACAGGGCACCGCATCTCCACGGGACAGCACGGTCGGGACGCCGAGGCGAGGAGCAGTTTGGGTTCGGACGGGGCTCGAGGTCCCTCGGGTCTGTCCATGGCTGTTCCTCCAGCCGAGAGGTGTTTGCCCCAAGCGGGGCCCGTTCCTGCTTCGGCATTCCTCGTGGTCTCAGCTCGAGGTGCACCTGCCAGCAGCGCCCCCGCACCTTGCCTTGGTTCTCTTTGACTGACGGAGGGAATGGTGGAGGCAAGCGCAGGTGGCCCCGAGTACGAGCCATCTCCCCTGCTCAGAGACCGGCAGGCTGTCTGGGGCACCCGCCTCGTCGACTCGGAGCAAGGGGAGGGCCGGCGGGCATCCTGCAGGAGGGAGGCAGAGGCGACATTTGTGCAGTGCAGATGGGCATATTGTCACGTTGGTGTGGCCACTAGGTTTTCATACCCCAAGAAGAACTCCATAAGCATCAACGTTTCGGGCTCCGCGCGGATGTCTTGGATCTGCGCTGGGCCCCCCCCGGGGCGGCGACTCCGGCGCCGCCCCTGGCGCGCTCCGCGCGCCAGGATAGGGCCCAGCGCGGATCCAAGACTTCCGCGCGGAGCGCGAACAGTTTATGTTTATGCCGCTTCTTTTTTTCTATATGTACATACACGTAATCTTTTTTCTCGCCTCGCCTGAGTTTTCTGTAGATCTCGCTGGCGCAGTTTGCGGTCCACGGCCTTGGCACGGCGTCTGCCCAGGAGGGGTACGGGGCGAAGTACGAGACCGAGAAAAACGCAAGCGACATGTTCCAGGCCAAGACGCAGGACCAGGGGCGTGGTTGCGAGCGGCACATGTGCGTGCAACCCTCCAGCAGAGAGTACTGTTCCTCCATCTTCCTCTCGCTCCCTCGCCTCCTCCCTCTTCTTCCCGCTCCAATTGGTTCTCCCCGAGGGGTGGTTTCTCTCTCTGTATATATAGATATAAATATGTATTCATGTATACAACATTCTGCGTCTTTCACCCCCTGCGCTCTTCCAGCTCGTGGCGGGAACTCAGTACTTTTATCTCTTACTCTCTCTCTCTCTCTTTACCTTCCTCGCTCGTTTTTTTTTGTTCTCTCTCTCTGTCCCCTCGCCAGTCCCGAAACGCTAAGCCCTGATAATTATATCTTTGCGTTTGCGCGCATTCGCCATCATAGGTCTTTGTGGAGGTGGGGAGAGGCTGGGGTGGGAGGGCTAGTGCCCCCACCAGTTGCTTGGTTTGGTATCGCTTTATCACTTTCAGCATGGAAAGCACCAAGGGCGCAAGATACAACGCGTGGACGCATGCCGAGCTCGATTCCGTGGGGATCCCTACATGTCCCTCCGCAAGAAGCGCAATCTCATGGAGCCAGCAATGGGCCCGACGCACACCAGCTGCCAGCCGCTGCACAGCGCGGAGGGCGATCCGGTTGGCCAGTTGGGCCCCAGCGAGTTCTCACGCGGCGGCTCTGTCCGCTCTCCCCCGTGCGCGCCGCTGTGCGCGGGCTCGTCTTCTGCCCGGCCGGCCGTGCAGCCGCTTTTGAGCTGCTGCTGACGTGATGTGACGAGTAGCCTCCGCGGCAGCCGGAGCTGACCTGGAAGCACTTGCCATTGAGAACAAAAGGGCCCTAATCTTAATAACGCGATGCAGACGTGGCCTCACTGAGGTCCCCGTCTTCGCATCAGGGATCATGCATCTGGGCGGTTTGGCTAGATGCCTCTGCAACAAAAGGTCCCCTATCATCCCTCATGTCTTTGGTCCCCCCTAAATTAGGTTTAAGTCGGGCCTGTCCCTCTACAGCAGGAGTATTCAAAAATAGTAAAAAGTAGTCTGGGGATGATTCTTCGATTGCTGTTGTTGAATATGTCTTGGGTATGTTTGGCGTATGTGTCATTTTTCGGCCACAGTCCGCCTGTAGGGAGATATGCCCGACCTAAACTCAGGTCCCCTCTCAAAGGGTTAGGGGTCTTTCTTGGTTGCTCAACTTGGCTCGAGCTTGGCATCGCTCGGACGTGTGCACTTTTCCTTCGACGGGGACCATCGAGGAGCATCCTTGATCATCTGGCGAAAAAACCACGCACGGAACCGAACAAAGCACAGGGAGTGGACGTCCGAGCGATGGCCTGCGAGGCACGGGCTCGTGCCCCACGCCTGCGGCGTGCGGGGCGGCCGGGGGAGGGCCAGCGGCGGCCGCACCGGACGCACCGATCCGAACCGGGGGCCGCGCCCGGCGGGCGGAGGCGGAGGCGGGCGGCCCGCGGAGGCCCGCGGAGGTGGCAGGTGCGGCCCCCCACGAGGACTCGTCGGCCGTTGCAGGCAGGCCTCTCTGGGCTCCCGGGAGCCAAGCTGCGTCGAGCGCCTGCCTGCTCCGAGGAGCGGTGTGCTTCTGCTGCGCTGGGCTGCTCTCTGGGCGGGCCCGGACCCCATCTGCCCTGTCCGCCTTCCTGCTTCGTGTTTCTACCCGCTCCTTCCGACCGATGGGTACGATCGACATGGGTAGGGGAAGGACGGGCACTCGGTGTCGTTTAACCGACCCCCATCCCCATCCCAATCCCCTTCGAGACCCCCGCCAAATAACCACCCCAGTTGGGGATACATCCCTCGAAAGCGGAAGGGAACGATCTGTATCTAGGGGGGTAAATCGGCCAGTGGGGCCATCCGCTGGGGATGGGGATCGGTTAAACGATACTCAGGCACGCAAACCAAGAGCATTTCCCCGTTCGTGTTGCGCAGGGTGCGCTGCCCACTCCGCCGCGGGCGCTGCTCACTCCGAGGCAGAAGGCCACATGCCCAGGCAGCGGCCGCCGTCGGTTTCGGACCACGCTTGCTGTTGGGCATCGTACTCCCATACCGCTACCCTTTGCCCGTTTTCCCCCTTTTCGCCCCCTTGGGAGGTTCTCGTCGCCACCGTTGGATTCGCCTCGATACTCTGGTCAGAACGCACCCGGGGAGAGGTCCGGGGAATGGCGGTGTCGGTACCGTTTGATTTCCCCAGTATTCAGTTTTTCCGTACCCACTTCGGGAGTCCGAGCCCAAGCGTTGGACCATGTGCGCATCAGTGTAACCTTTGTTAGAGCCAGCGTTTGTCTTTTCGGCGGTGTTGTATGTTGCGACTGTCATATGTATACCTGGCTGGAGCCACTTTCGCAGGGGAGAGATTGTGTCATGGTTGGGGTATCGTCACCGCTGCCACGGGCCTGCTGACGTTTTCATCGATTGAGTCCGCAATCCTCCTCCTCCTCCTCCTCCTTCTCCTCTTGTCCACCTCTTCCTCCTCCTCCTCAGCTTCGCTGTCGTCGTCGTCGTCCTCCTCCTCCTCCTCCTCCTCCTCCTCCTCCTCCTCCTCCTCCTCCTCCCCTGGTCCTCTCCCCAGCGTCCTCCCGTCCTGAGGCTGTTTTTCCTCAGACTCATGCAAGCTTACTTGCATTTCCCGCACCCCCTGACCCTACGCCGCCTTTTCCAAGAGCGCCGGGCCGAAAAGGCTTGCAAGTAAGTCCTGGCTTGCGTGAAGTCCAGATTGCCTTCCGGGCCTCATCACGCCCGCCCCCTCCCCCCCCCCCCCTCCGTGCCAGAATCCAGAGACGACCTCCTCCCTGCTCTCCAGGACCTGGCCCAGAAGCTCCAGTCGGCAAGCAGGGAGATGGAGATGCTGCAGCGGACGCGGGAGCGGGCCATGGAGAGGGAACAGCCTGGCCCTTGGCCGGACTTGGAAGGGGGAACGACAGTCGCCCCCCCGTGCTTGCAGGAGGGCCGCCCAGTGCATGCGCGTGAGGCGCTCCAGAGACAGGGCCTCGTCTTCGAGAGTCGAAGGAGACCAAACAGCATGAATATAAGCTTTTGGCTCTCCGCGTGGATTTCTTGAATCTGCGCTGGAGCGCCCCGGCGGCGCCTCCGGCGCCGCCCCTGGCGCGCTCCGCGCGCCAGGGAGAAGAATCCCCGCGGAGTGCCAACAGTTTATGCTTGTGGCGTCTTTTCCTTCTTCCAGAAAGGGCTTCGGAAGCTGGCGGAAGTAACATGGGAGTGGCGGCTCCGCCGGCGGCAAGTTGGCGGAGGTGCACACTTTTTGTGGGTTCAGGGCTTCCGGAGCCAGTCATATCCAGGAGGGCAAAAAAAACACAGACACCACAATTCATCGTCGATCTCCACGAACAAATGTGGGTAACTATGGGAAGTGTGTGTGGGGGGGGGGAAGACGGGAACACAGGACAAATATAGGGAAAATAGGAGGAATCCTGGGATGTTTGTGTGTATTTATTTGTGTGTCCTTGGGCCCCTTTGCTGGAGGCTTGGAGATGGGCACCGGCACCACAGCAGAGGGTTGCGACCACGGGGGGCGGATGACCCTGGATTTTGGTGCTGCCCTTTCGGCCGCCCAGGAAGCCCAAACATTATTACCACCACCGCGATCGGGATCATCTTCCGCATGCAGGTGGAGGTACACCTTGCCCTGCATGCCCTCCTCCTCCACCTCCTCGTCGTCCTCCTCCTCCTCCTCGTCCCCCTTCTCCTCCTCCTCCTTCTCCTCCTGGCCTCACCAGGCCATGCAGGTGGAGGCACACCGCCGATACTTGTGCTGGGGCCCACCTCCAAGCCCCAGACTCTACGTGTGCTTAAGCGCTCCGCAGCTCTTCCGGGCGGCGCCGAGGCAGCGTGGCCCCCCCCCCCCCTTGGTGCGCCCGTCTTGTGGTGAGGGGAGAGCGCGCCTGCGGCACCGCCCCGGCGCGTGGCCGCCCCGCTGGCCCCCGCCCCAGGCCGCTAGGGCTTCCAGAGGGCACCGCTCACCAGACTTCAGTCGGGCCTGTCCCTCTACAGGAGGAACATTCCAAAGTAGTAAAAAATAGTACGCGGACGTGTTTTTTTTTTTTTGTTTTTTTTTTTTTTTTTTCGTTTTTGATGTTTTTTTGTTCTTCTTGTTGTTGTTGTTGTTGCTGTTGTTGTTGTTGTTGTTGTCATTGTCGTTGTGGTTGTTGTTGTGGTTGTGGTTGTTGTTGTTGTTGTTGTTGTTGTTGTTGTTGTTGTTGTTGTTGTTGTTGTTGTTGTTGTTGTTGTTGTTGTTGTTGTTCTTGTTGTTGTTGCTGTTGTTCTTTGGGTATATATATATATATTTGTATATATATATATATATATATATATTCATTTTATAAAACGTATTTTTGACCATTTGGGAGTATTTTTGTTTCGTCCCAAATCCGCCTGTAGGGAGACATGCCTGACCTAACACCAGACCACCCCGACCCAACCCGAAGGCCTCAGCTTGCCTTCCGTGTCCATCAGAGAAGACAAAACGCCATAAGCACAAACTTTTGGCGCTCCGCGCGGATCTGTTGTTTTGGTTTCTCGTTTTGGCAGGGAGGTACAGGAAAACAGGTCGAGCCAAACGAAGCACAAAACGAAAGCAAAACGAAGAACAACGTTTAGGTCCAGACCTGAGCCGCCAGAAACATGAACTTTTGGTGCTCCGCGCGGATCTCTTGGATCCGCGCTGGGCCCCCCCCCGGCGGCGCCTCCGGCGCCACCCCTGGCGCGCGGAACGCGCCAGGGAGGGGGGTCCAGCGCGGGTCCACGGAATCCGCGCGGAGCGCTAACAGTTTGTGTTTGTGGCGGTGCTTCTTTTTCTACCAACCCAACCCGAAGGCCTCAAGTATTTGCCCTCCCTTTCCAGTGGGGGGGGGGCCGAGGAACACTAACGACACACACGTGGAACCCGCACGTGCCACACCCGACGCGAAATATAGTGTGACCTTCGGGTTAAGGCTGGGGTTGTCTGGCAGGTCGTCGGGAGGGCTTGCCCGAGCCTTCGGCGGCGCCTCCGGGCCCCCTTCGGGTACCTCCAGCGGCTCCCCACCCTCCGACGGAGGGAGGGATCGGCCGCGCGCAGAGGGGGGCAAGAAGGGAGGGGGGGGAGGCTTCTTAGAAAGCACCCCTGCTGCTCCGAAGGCGCGGGCCTTCTCTGTGCGTGCATGGCCGGCGCCTTCTGAGAAACGGCCCCCCTTTTCCAAGAAGGCTTCCCCCTTCCCTCTGCCCCTCTCTGCGCGCCGCCGAAAAGAGGAGGAGGAGGAGGAGGAGGAGGAGGAGGAGGAGGAGGAGGAGGAGGAGGAGGAGGAGGAGGAGGAGGAGGAGGAGGAGGAGGAGGAGGAGGAGGAGGAGGAGGAGGAGGGGTTGGGTGGGTGGAGCCCAGGCTGCAGGAGGGGCTGCCAGGCAATGGCGTCCCAGAGGGAGCGTTCCGCTTCTGTGTCCCTGTCGGCCCACTCCGTGAGCTCGTGCAGCAGCTTGCCTGCGCGATCGGAGGTGCTGCGAGGCGCGGCTTCCTCTCTCTCGTGCACGTGGCGTACGAGTCGGAACCACCCTTTTTTCATCGGTTGCAGCAGCAGCAGCAGCAGCTGGGGGAGGAGGAATGGAAGAGGGATGGAGGAGGACTCGAGGAGGAAGAGGAGGGAGGTTGTAGGATGAGGAGGACTCGAGGAGGCATTGAGCAGGAACTGGGGAGAGCTTTTGAGGAGGAGGACGAAGTGGAGGAGGCGGGGGAGGGCCCCACGGCGGGGGGAGTCGCCGGGCGGGGAGGTATGCCGCGCGGCGCGCCGGGGGAGGGGGGGGGGGGGCAATGGCGCCCGGTGCGCGCGGCGCGCCCGCCCCTTTCGCGCCGAGGTCCGCGCGCTCCGAGGAGGAGGAGTACTCCACGGAGAACGCGCAGCTCCAGAGCCAGAACGAGCAGCTCGTGCAGCAGGCGAAGAGTTCGAGGAGGAGATCACCACCCGCCAGACCACCCCCCAACCCAACCCGAAGACCTCAGTTTGCCCCCCATTTCCGGTGGGGGGCGGGTCGGGGAACATTGAAACTATCCCAGTGCGACCCTACCTAGGAGTTGGAGCATTTAGGAAAGCAACATCTACATCTACACCGACAGCTACATTTACATCTACACCTGCATCTACATCTACATCTACATCAACAGCGAGACTCACATCTACATCTACATCTACACCTACATCTACACCTACATCTACATCTACATCTACACCTACATCCACATCTACACCTACACCTACACCTACACCTACATCTACATCTACATCTACATCTGCACTTTTGCTTTGGTTTTGCTTTTGCTTTGCATTGTCTTTGCTTTTGCTCTTGCCTTTGCTTTTGCCTTTACCTTTGCTTTTGCTTTTGATTTTGCTGTTGCTCTTGATTTGCCTTTTTTTCTTTTGCTTGATTTTGCTTTTGCTATGCGGTGCTATGCTATGATATGCTATGCTATGATATGCTATGCTATGCTGCGCTATGATATGATATGACATGCTATACCATGCTATGCTGCGCTATGCTATGCTGCGCTGTGCTATGCTAAGGTGATCTATGCTATGCTATGCTATGTTAGGCTATGCTATGCTGCGCTATGCTATGCTATGCTATGCTAGGCTAGGCTATGCTATGTTATGCTGCGCTATGCTATGCTATGCTCTGATATGCTGCGCTACGCTATGCTATGCTATGCTATGCTATGCTGTACTATGCTATGCTATGCTGCGCTGTGCTATGCTAAGCTATGCTATGCTATGATCTGATATACAATGCTATGCTGCGCTATGCTATGCTATGTCATGCTATGCCATGCTATGCTGCGCTATGCTATGCTGCGCTATGCTATGCTATGCTATGCTGTGTTATGCTCTGCTATGGGCTGCTATGCTATGCTATGTGATGCTTGTGCTGCGCTGCGCAAAGCTAAACTAAGCTGAACTAAGCTAAGCTAAGCTAAGCTAAGCTAAGCTAGGCTAGGCTACGCCAAGCTAAGCTCAGCTAAGCTAGGCTAGGCTAAACCAAGCTAAGCTAAGTTAAACTAGGCTAATCTAAGATGATATACGCAACGCTAAGCTAAGGTGACGTAACTGGGGGAACCGCGGGGCGGATGCGGGGGGAACCGCCCGGGGCGGGTTACACTGCCCGGCCCCTTTAAGCTATAGGGTAAGAACCCTTCCAGGCAGAGCCTAGGTAGGGGAAAAAACACACATACGGAGTCCATACCTCCCCAAATCCGAAATTCGGGTCTGCGGGTTGGGTTGGGGTGGTCTGGTAGATAGTCAGGAGAGACCAAAAGGAGACGACACAAACACAACCATAACATGTTCGGCGCTCTGCGCTGAGCTCCAGCAGTTTATGCTTGTGCAGTTGTTTCCTTTTTCCACGAGAACGACATGATATCGAAGACGCCTACGGCGAATCACTGCCGCCCCCTGCGCCTTTGGAAGCGCTTTTGTGGCCGACAGCTGGGCTAGAGCTTGGCCAAGCTATCGGGCCAGTTGTTCACCGAGTCGGTTTGGAAAGCCTTCGGGGAACGCGTGGGGGAGCAATAGGGGGAGGATCAGGAGAGGGAGGATGATGATGATTAGGAGGAGGAGGAGGATGAGGATGAGGATGATGGGGAAGGAGAAGGAGTAGGAGGAGGAGACTTCTTGGGAACCGTCTTGCGAGGACTCTTGGGAGGCCTCTGCGGAGCTTCCTGGGAGCCTTTTGGAGGCCTCTTGGGAGCCTCCCTGGGCCTCTTGGGGGCTTCTTCGGGGCTTTTGGGGGCTTCTTGGGGGCCTCTTTGGCTGTCTTAGGGCGTTCCCGACCCGTCTGACACCGTCGGAAGGCGTCTTGGGGGTCTCTCTGAACCGACTTGTGGCTCTCTCTGGGCGCTTCAGGGCCGTCTTGGAGAGTATCTTGGACGTCTTGGAGATCGCCGTCTTGGGGCCTCTTGGGCCGTCTTGAGTCTTCGGAATGCTGAAAAAGAGCAAATTCCCAAATCCTTGACAAACCAAAGGACAATGAGTTTGGTCTTTTCGAGTCCTCCTGGAGGACCTCTTGGAGGCCTCTTGGGCCGGAGGAGGCGGAGGAGGAGGAGGAGGAGGAGGAGGAGGAGGAGGAGGAGGAGGAGGAGGAGGAGGAGGAGGAGGAGGGGAGGGTGGCGCAGCGAGGATCGGGGCGGGGCCCCTGGCCTGCGCCGCCAGGTGAAGGCCCAGACGGCGGAGGCGGCCCAAAGCCAGGCAGAGGTGGAGGCGCTGCGCGAGCAGGTGAAGGACCTGCTCTTCGGCGGCAAGCGACGGGGGGGGCGGGCGACGCAGACTCCCTCGCGGAGGGATTTTTTTGTATTCGATATCTTCGGCCTCTTCTTTTCGCCATCTTTGGGGGCGTTTCGGCGGCTTCTGTGCGCTCTTTTCGGCGGCTTCTATTTGCCAGTCACGGTGGGAGTTTTCTCGCTATTTTCGGGCTCTTGGGGCCCTTGCCGGGCCTCTGGACCGTCAAACAAAGACTCAGGATGAAAAACCGGTCCGGGGGACGAGGTCGAGATCTCTTGGGGTCGACGCTGTGAAGCAATCACGACGTCGGGTGTCTGGGGAGGGGGGGCAGTGAGAGGGAGGAGGCCTTCTCAAAAGGCGGCGGGACTTCTCAGAGGCCCTCGCGCCTTCCGAGAAGCGTTCCGCGCCTCCAGGGAAGGCCGAGAACACTTCTCGGAAGGCCGGGGGACTTCCGAGCCTTCTGAGAAGCAGGGGTGCTCCTGAGAAGCCCTCTCCCCTCCCCCCCTGCTGCGCGTGGCTGCGCTGCGCTGCAGAGCATCTCGGTCTGCTCCGGGTGTGAAAATTCGGGCCCACTTCGTGGGCGAGCCTCTTGCGAGGCCGCCGGCGGAGCGCCGCGCCTTTTTCCCCCTCGCGCGCCGCCGAGCTCTGGCCAGAAAGCAGGTCGGGTGCGGACCGGCGCCCCAGGCGGCCAGGGCTTGGGTTAAGTCGGGCGTGCCCCCCTACAGTTTTTTTTGTTTTTACGAAAAATCGAAAATACCCCAAACCATGCCCCAAAAAGGCCAAAAACATATTCCAAAAATAGTCCCCAGACTATTTTTGGATTTAGTTTGATTATTTTTGGGGTATTTTTCATTTTTCGTCGAAAATCCCCCTGTAGGGGGACAGGCCCGACTTAAGGCTCAGGGGTCCTGATTCCCTGCGCGGCACGGGGAGGGACTCCAGCACGAGGCGCAAGGTCTGCTTGCCATGCCCGCGGCTCTTCCGACAGGGGGCCACATGCGAGCCCTACCCCCCCCCCCACGATGTCTGAGGGGGAGGGTGGGGTTCACTCCGTTCGGGAGCTCCCGAGCGAAGTGAACCCCACTCTCCGCCCCAGAAACCGTGGGGGGTAGGGGTAGGGTTCGCATGTGACCCCCTATCTGACTCACGGTGTGCACGTTGTCTCTTCTGCACTCTGCAAGCTCGGATGGCATTCGGGCTGCTTCTGAATGTGCTCAGTCTGCCAGTCGAGTAGGGCACCGCCCCGAGGCTGAGCCCCCGCGAATGGCTCGCGCGCAAGCGCTCTCGCAGCCTCAGGGCGGGCTCTGGAGCACTTGCTTTCTGCAGTCTGTGGCTGGCCGCAAGATGCATGCACTGACGGAGGACCGATGACGTACGGCATCAGAGCCACACACGTCGAGTGTTTAGGGGTGTTTTATTGTTGTTTCGCGGTGCAACGGCATTCTCGCGTATCTCATATTGTTCTGTGCGCGCGTGCCCGTGGGTCTGTGCGCACTTGCCAGACGGCATAACACTACGCCCTCATGTCGATGATACGACCGCGCGCGCTCGCGGATCGCAGGAGCTGAGGGCCAGCAGGGCGATGCATGAGCGCAGCTCCCACGCGGCCTGGGTGGCGAACGAGCGGGAGCTGATCCAGGCTCGCGGGAATCGAGGGACGAAATGCGACGACCATGACCGAGGTGTCGCGGGATTTTGTCGACGCCGATCTTGGTCATGGTCCATGCCGGTCATCGCCGATTCGCAAGGTTTATCGGCGAGTTGGCGGTGACTAGGATGGACGATTACCAAGATCGGCACCAACGTTTCCGCGGTCAGTTCGTTCGTGGTCCTCGTTTACTCTCGCTCTGGGGAAGGCGAGGTGAGTTCAAGCAGGTGAGAAGACCCAATGGAAACTCCGCGTGGTGAGGGAGTCTTTGATCGGGTTGGCGTGGAACTGCGCACACCCGTTGCTGTGCGTGGACAGTGGTTTCGCCCGTGGAGGCGGAGGAGCAGTCGGCATGGTTCTTTTCAGGATCTTCCAGAAGCGGACAAGCAGAGAGTGGCCGATGTTGGTATGTGCTTGCGAGGATGTCGATCCGCATGTGAGGCTGAAGCTATCGCACTGGAGACCGCTCTGGGTAGGCTACATCACGCAGTTCGCTCGGGGAGATAGAAGTGCACCTGCGGGGTGTACGCCTTACGAGAATAATACTGATAGTTAGGCCAATCACGAACATACCATTAAGCAACATACTAATAAGAAGAGGCGGGGGTGGTTGACCTTGGAGTTTACAGAGGTTATTTGTTCTGGCAATGTTGCATCGCCGCAGTCGCCGCTGCTGCGTCGCGCGACGGTAGCGGTTCCGACAGAAAGAAATGGCTTACTCCCTATCGGACAACGGCCAGAAGGCTAGAGTGGTCACGTGTCGGCAGGACGGTTGGAGGCTCCAGGCTCCTGCTGCCAGGTGTGGCGCTCCGCTTCCCCTTCTCCTGACCCACGCGGTCCTTCTCTGGCTCATGGTGCCCGCGCTGTGCGCCCTTCTCTTGCTACCTACCTCCTTTGCTCCTCCTCCTCCTCCTGCTTCCTCCTCTTCCTCCTTCTTCTCCTCCTCCTCCTCCTCATCCTTCTCCTTCTCTCTCCTCCTCCTCCTCCACCTCCTCTTCTGATCTCCTCCTCCTCCTCCTCCTCCTCCTCCATGCCTTTTCCTTATAAGTATCTACTCCCTGTCGCAGCCCGAGGCTAATTTTTCTGGCGGGCGGGGCGTTTCGCCTAAGACTTCTTCACCGCTCATGACCGTGAAGCTTAAACGTTGACGACAGTTCACACATGGAGGGCGGGTCGTCTTCAACATGTGGCTCTCGCTTCAGCGCCGCGCACATTCGTTGTACACAAGTGTGAGGGTTTCACGGATTGAGGGCGGGTCGTTTTCAAAATGATGCTCTCGCCTCAGCGCCGCGCACATTCGTTTTAAACACTTAAACGAGTTTCACGGAATGAGGGCGGGTGATTTCCAAAATGTGGTTCTCGCATTAGCGCCGCGGATATTCGTTCTAAACATGTGTAAGAGCTTCGCGCATTGAGGGCGGTTCTTCTTCAAAATGTGGCCCCCCGCCTCAGCGCCGCGCACATTCATGTTTCTAAAGTTGCAAGAAATTCACGGGTTTCCATGATCAGCGTACCAGAAATCGTGTCGCGGAAGGGTTCAAGATTATGAGGGTGCAACAGCTACGTTGATTCGCTGTGTTGAAGTCCCACGATTGGTGTTCTGGCACTGTCCAAGATCGTCAAAACGCAACAGGCAGGTTGATCCGTGGCGTTGGAATCCCGAGAACAGTGTTTTGGCATGCTTCAGGGTCCTCAAACGGTTGTCTTCCAACGAGGCAATTCCCTCAGTGGAAATGAACCTTTGTATGGGGCCTATGAAGAGGGAGCTTGGAGGGAAGGTTGATTCCAACATCGTTGATGACTTGGGTTTCCACTGGTCCTCCTCCTCCTCCTCTCCCCCTCCTGCTCCTCCTGAAAATCCTCTCCTCTCTCCCTCCTCTACTACTTCTTCCTCTCTTCGTCGCCGTGAATGCACCCGCCGCTGGCTAGTCGCCGATCCAACTCCAAGAAGTCCGCGCAGACCTCCGAAAGTTTGCCCACCCCAGGGAGCGAGGAATGCGGTCCGCAGCGAATCGCCCGCCACAGGGCAATCCACACATTTTTTTTGGCGAGGGGAATCAGAGGCCGAGACGAAAACAGCAGTGAGATGTGTTCGCAAGGCCTTCGCGCGGCCCGCTTAGCTTCGACCGGAAGAGGTGCGCTCTCGACCCGCGGATCAAAAAAATGTGTTCGCGAGGCCGTCTCACTCGAGCGTCTGTACCTCGTCTTCCTCTTCTTCCTCCTTCCTCCTCTTCTTCCCTGACCCGTCTGGCTGGACCTCCCGGTGGAATCTGGCGGGGTGCGGGGCCCCACAGTTGTATGCAATTGGGCAGGCAAGCTCTTGCGCGGCCTGGGCGGTGAGCTACAGATGCAAGCGCAGCTTCCGACGGGCTCATCACCAGCATCATCACCACCATCGTCGGCATCATCATCACCGCCGGCATCAGCATGCCCTTCGTCGTCAGTATCTCCACCATCATCACCACCATCCCCACCAGCATCATCGTCACCTTCTCCGTAGCCGTTCTGGCTCAAGTTCTATACCCTCCGCCCTGGGGCACAGAGAGCCTGTGCGCACCCAAGGGGCTGGCCCAAGGCGTGTGCCACTGGAGTTTCTCCACGCTCGAGCCCACAGCGAGCTGCCCAGCGGCTGCAGGATGCGTCTGCAGCGGCATTTTGTCAGCGGCCACCATGTCCATGTTCGATGCCGATACCATGGGAACGCTGATGATCAGCGAGCGAAGAACGGTATAAAATAAACTTTTTCGCTGTCGGGGGCGCCTGTCCCTGGGCGGCTGGAAAGTTTATACCCCTACGGTGGCACCGTAAGGGTATAATCTTTCCAGCCGTCCTGGGACAGGCGCCCCCGACAGCGAAAAAGTTTATGTTATACCGCTCTTCGCCCGTTAAGATGAGCGAGTGCCTGGGGCCGCAGTCGGCCAGCATCGACGCGCTGGGCGGACAGGCAGCATGAGCGAAGTGAAGCGGCTCGACTCGCCGCTGACCAAGCGCATGGACGACTTCGGCCCGGTGGTGGAGACGCTCCGTCCGAACGCGAAGATCTCGTCTTCGGAGATGCAGGCCGTCATGGGGAGCGACGATTGCCTGAGCGACGGGGACGGTGTGGATGGAGAAGGTGAAGGGTTCACTACCCTCGTCGTCGACGTCAGGGAGTTCAGCCATCGGTTTTACTTGATGTGGGACCTCAGGCGCGTGTTAGGAGGCTCTCTGGTCATGGGCGTGCGCCTCCTCTCCAGTGTCTTTCTTGTCCACGCGTGCTGGTGAAAACTCTGACCCATGCAAGCTATGGGTCCGTGGGTTCCTTCGGCCGCTCATGTCTTCGCACGGGATGGCCCACTTCAACACCTTCCCAAAGAAGGTGCCAGCATAGCTGGACAGCAAGATGACCTTCCTCAGTAAGAACTGCAAGTACTCCTATGCCTACGAGCTTCCTTCCAAGCAGGATGCCGGCCAGGTCTAGACTGCGGGGAAGGGGATGGGCCTCTCCTGGACCGACACTCGTGGCGATCGTGTGTATCCAGTTCGCGTTGGTCGCGGCAGCCCGCCCCCGATTCGACAGAAGAGCTATGTCCGCGGTATTGCCCACGGTTTGGTGAAGAACGACATCGGGTCTAAGGGTGCCCAGAGGGGCTCGATGAAATTGGGCAGCAAACATTTTCAAGGGCAGCTCTACCTCACCGAGAACGACGAGCCCTGGGAGCTGGTATCCGTCAAGGAAGCAGGCGACGGTAAGAGTCTAGACATCATGTCCAATGTTGCCCACCTGATACACTTCGGCGTCGGGAAGAGCCGCGTCGAGTCCATCGGCGAGCGTGCGCAGTTGAAGCTCGAGTGCTCAGAGTAGATATTCCCCAAGCAAATGTCAGCGCCTTCGTTCCTCTGTTTGTCTGTTGCTCGAAGCAGGCCCTCTGCTGCCGACTGTGCGAGTTTTGAGATGGGTAGGGGTGGCTCGCAGTCTGTGCCTCTGGGTGACAGTATTCGACAGGAGCCCTTCTGAATTCGCGAGCCTGCAGTCTCGTGTCCTGGAATTCGAGTGCCCTTTTCGGTCGCGTGTAGGGTAGCCGTAGCAATCAGCACTCCCACCCCCAGAAGTTCGGCAAGTTTACCACACAGTTCGACAGCGTCATGTGTCAAGATACGTACCCACGGTGCGGAACGCGTTCTCGAAACGCCCGGTCGACTGTAACCTTGTTTGTCTTGTATCGGCTCCTTCGTAGCAGGCTCTCGGACTGGTTGCGTGATAATCTCTATATCCACAAGTCCTTTTACAGCTGTCACTAATCGGGCCGAGGACCGTGCTGTTATTCTTGCGGGGCGGTGCATTGGCATGCGCTTCCCTGGTAGGCAGGGGTTCCTCATGAGTATGAGCATTAACGTCGAACCACGGCTTCGACATGCTGAGAAATATAGTTTGCTGTCCCGCGTTGCCCGCGCTCTCCCTTCTCCCAATGAGCGCCTCTCGAGTAGTGGTGGCGATTGGGCCGTCCTGGGAGATCGCGCCCCGAGACGTCACCTCGTTAGTCCCCCTCCTACTCACAAGCGCGTGCTCTTGTGGTTTTTTGTTTCCAAAGTGGTTTCATAGTTTTTGGAGGTCCCCCAGGGCGAGGATGCCCACCGAGTGACTGTTGGAGTTGCTGTCGTTTCACTTGCTAGATTGAATCGGATCTATTTCAATACCGCTGCGGCCGAACTACTCGATTTACATCCTCGCCCAGAGGCTCTTGGGAACGTCTTCGACGAGCTCGAGCCCTCTGATCACGTGTCGATCTTCGTGGCTAGGGGCTCGATCGTCGATTGGATGTTTCGGCGCGGGCGTAGTGACTCCGAACAGAGCTGCAGTCTGTGTGGAGGCGATGAGGGCTGTGAGGAGCCAGCGTCGCCCCGTCATCGCCAGTTGTCTTCGTGTCCTTCCTGAGCTCCAAGAATATACATATATATATATGCAAGGATGATAGTATCTCTACTGGTTTTTATGGTTACTTTCACCTGCTCCTTGGAGCGGGGATGAGTGGGCGTTCCGATGCTGGACAAGAGGGCGACCCAAACAGAGTACTGCGTGTTCACCATTTGTTTGAAGCTGGTCTCCGGGGCGACGCCGGCTTTCTCCCATCTCGCTTTCTTTGCCTGGCGCCCCCTCGTCGAGGGTGCGATTGATTGCTGCGGCAGCCCGCTGGCGGGGCGCGCGCGCTGCTGCCCCTGGTAACCACGAGGCCCGCGACTCCATTCTTCAGGACATGCCGTTCGAAGTGCGCGTTGTTTTTCCCCCAGCGTCGGCTGGGTTCTGGACTTTAGGCAATTCTGTGGGGCTTTGGGCTGCGTGCAAGATGCGGCCTGCGGGCCTGGCGGGATCACTGGCAGCACCTGCAAGAAGAGCAGTTTTCGTGGCGGTGATCGTCTATATGAAGTCCATTCAGACCTCGCGAACTTAGGGGTCTTGCCATCGGGCCTCTATCACGTTCGGCATTGTCTGCCCAAAGGACCTGGGGCCTCGTGTGAAATTACTTATCCCGCCGAGGAGACCCGCCCCGTCACCCTCTTCGACGCCGACGAGCAAATCTTGGCCAGTGCTCTTGTGGCCCCCATCCAGGTCCAAGGTCAATTCGCGGTTTCGGGGGTCCACAAGGGTCATCAAGGGTCGAGACATTCTGGAAGCCATTGTTTCCACGGCGGCTTAGCTGCTCAGCTGCTGCAGGTCGCTGACATTTACGGATGTCCGCAGGCAGGGTTGCTGCTGCTGGACGTCAGCGTTGCCTTCCCGCCCCTCGCCCATGCTCGGATGCTTGAGAGGTTCTGCAGGCCAGTCTCGTTCTCGCCGATGTCCTGCCTCTGCTCAGACATTGCATTCTGATGGTTATATTGGCCTTATCCTTGGGCCGTGGGGGGTGGGGGGCAATTTACTGGAGTCTAGATTCTCGGTGGCGTTGCGGCGGGGCGCTCATGATCACGGGCTTTATTCGCCATCGATGTCGACCCCATTGTGAGGAGATTGCAACAGTTGCTGAACCCTCTCCGTGCTGCTCCGCTTGCCTTCGCCGGCGTTGTCGCTGTTGCGTGCGCGGGTGTGATTGGCGTTGGTCTGCTCATGTTCGAATTAACGCGGCGTGCAGGACATCACGCGGGATTGGGGGCGCACGCGCGGAAGGCGGTTCTCGTCTAAGCCTGGCCTGTTCATGAAATCCGGGGGCTTTTCTTTGACATCGGGGGGGCCGTTTCGGATTTTTGCTTATTTCGGCCTGTGGACTGAATTTGGGAATCTGTCTAGGGCCTGTCGGGCCCGACAAATCTTGGGCTGCCCCGTGTAGCAAGCAAAGTCTGGTTTGCCGCATTTCCTGTGCTTTCAGTGTGCTCTAGTACGCGCTGGCGCTCTACCCGATTGCTAAAGATGTTCGCGAAGCCGAAGGCTCAGGACTCCAGCGGCTCACTTGGGCCCGCAGGTCTACATTCAGTGTGGACATGTTTTTCTATGCTGGCCGCTTCCGGATTCCAGTTCGTGTTCGGCGCCTCGGATGTGTACACCGGGCCGCCATGTACCGAGCCGCGCTCAAGTGTTGCGCACTCTGCGATTTTCCAAGTCAGCTCCACATTCGGGGGCATGTTGACGACGAGCGTCGTTTTGCGTGGCGAGGAGAGGATTGGATGGACAGGTTCGTTTGCTTATCCTGGTTGAGGAATTATCGCGCGCTCTTTGGCCTCTGCCCACAGTTTGATGCGGACAGCAATGACATCCGGAGGAATCTGTGCAATGCCCTGTTCGCTCGCTGGGACGCCCCCTCCCTTTGTGCCACGCTGACTTTTAGAGTTGTTCACTTGCTCCCCCACCAAACTGCTCAGCCCGACGTTCTCTCCATATGCTAAGCTGCGTTCAACACGATTAGGTATGCCAGTAAGAGATGCCCCGTCCTCGACATCAGTGCCCTTCGCAGTATACGCACTGCGTGGCCAACCACTGCAAGGTACCGACAGGGTACGGTGAGTTGCAGGTTCGGCTGTGGCGCAGATGGAGGAGATCATGGTCTTCACTAGTTCGAGTGTCCGCTCGCGGTTCCCGTTCTCCAAATTGTGATCCCAGACCTCCCTCATGGTACAGTCGCCTCCAAGGATACGATAGGCTCCTTTCAAATTCTCCGAACCTTTCCAGAACGACGTTGCTACGCATGGCTGTAAGTTCGTTCGCGATATTTTGCTGGTCACTTTCGATACCCTGCGTAGCGAAGGCTCCTTTGGGCCTCGGGAGACTCGAGAGCCTCACGAGGAGCCGTGCGCGCGCTGTGGCCCAAGCGGTCTCCAGCGCCTCGCGAGGCTTTCGAGAGGCACTGAGACACCGAAGGGGGCTTGCCGTCATCATCGCCACCTTCATCATCACCACCATCAGCACCAAAAGCATCATCACCGTCAGCAGCAGCACCACAAGCATCACCACCACCTTCCCCATGGCCACCGCCAACAGCATCACCACGAACACCATCAGCATCACCATCACCACCACCGTCATCGCCACCATAACCACCACCACTGGGGCCAGAAGAGCAGCACCTCACGCTGGTGCTACCGCTCACGCCGCCCTCCCCCGCCGGGAGGCGCGCCGCGACCTGCAGTTGGCCCAGGCGCTGCACCAGAACCTCAAGACGGAACTGGCGCGCACGCGGGCGTTGCTGGCGGACCCGCAGAGGCCCGCCTCCGGCCTCCGCGGGGCGCGCGCGCGGCGCGAGCCCGATTCCGATCTGGCCCCGATCTGGTCGCGAGGCGGAGGAGGCGGAGGAGGCGGAGGAGGACAGAGGAAGAGGGGCAAGGAGGAGGAGGAGGAGGAGGGTGAGGCGGAGGTGGAGGAGGAGGAGGAGGAGGAGGAGGAGGAGGAGGAGGAAGAGGAGGAGGAGGAGGAGGAGGAGGAGGAGGAGGAGGAGGAGGTGGAGCAGGAGGAAGAAGAGGAGGAGGAGGAGGAGGAGGAGGAGGCGGAGGATGCGGCGGGGGGGGAGGAGGATGAGAAGGACGAGGAGGTGGAGGAGGTTGCGCAAGCCCGATCTCGATCCAGGCCAATCCCCAGGCTTTTCAGGGGCAGCGTCAGAAAACTCAGAAGTGGAGAGGCTCAGGAGAGGAAGCATAGACCTGGAATCGGCGAAGCATCGCCGATAGATCGGCGACGGGCCCCGGATGGCGGATCCGCGCTGGGCGGGCTTTCGGGCCCAGCACCCGGCTTTTTGAGCCTCCCGGAGGCTTTTCGTCGACACGGCTGGATCCGCGCCGAACAAATGATGGGCCGATTTCCCACCACCGATACCAAAGGTAGGACGGGGGAGGGAGGAGGATTGGGAGGTCCTCCTCCTCCTCCTCCTCCTCCTTTACCACCTCCTCCTCCTCCTCCTCCTCCTCCTGCTTATAGCAGTGGTGGTGGAAACTCAGCCCATCAAGTAACGGATCAGGATGGGCCCCCGGGAGGCGTCCAGGTTTCGACCTTCGAGCTGGGCTCGGGCCGGGCGGGGTCGTCGCAGGCGAGCGAGCACACGCTGCCAGACCTACGTTTTCGATGCCCGCGGCCTCGCGTGCCGGGCCCCTGTGGGGCCGCGAGCCCGCGGCATGCGGGGCGTTTTGGTCGCGGCCTCCCCGCACGGAGCGTAGGTCGGGTCGGGCGAAGGGGGGGGGGTGGGAAAGGGGGGTTACGAAATCTGCTGCAGGCAGCTGGTTTCGGGCCCGCGGAGGGGCCCATCCCTCGACACATGGTCGCTTCCGGCGCCGGGAGGCGCCTGGAAGATCAGCTACGCGAGCTGATTCCCCCCCCCCCTTTGCTATCCCCCCCTTTCGCCTGGCCCGAGTAGGGCACCCCGTGCGCCCGCGCGTCCGCGGGCATCG